GTTTTGATCGTACGTGGTTTTTTTGACCGAACACAAGGTTTGAATAACTTATTTTTGCACTTGACGCGCGCGCTTTGCTTATGTTTAATTATGATAAGTCTTGTCGTATTTTTCCATGTATATTATTAACTCGTAATCACATGATTTTTCTGGTGCAATTTGTAATAAACAAGCACTTGTTAATTTTTTCAAAGACCACAAATTGTTAACACAAATTTTGTTAGTCTTTAAAAAAATTTACTCGTGCTTATTTATTCCAAATTGCTCTCGACATCATGTGATTACCTTTACAAAGTCCTAGCAGGTTCGTATGTAATGGGTGGCCCCAGCTATCGAAGACCGCCGCCGAAGTCAAATCGAGTTACTGCCCGCTATTATGACTCATGTGTGGATAACGAGTCGGAGCCAACGATGTTTATTGTCTTTGACATCGATCAGCACTACCTAGAGTATGTCATTCAGTATGAGTCTGATTAGATGCGTCTGAAAGGATTCAATCGGTTGAGAACAATAACGTCCAATCTGTAACTTTCCACTTCAACCATTCAATTTGCAATGGTCTCGGTACACTTTCTAGAAAGTACATCTTTCAGGCAAGCTGCGGATAATCGTGGTCGACTAAAAGTTAGGACGCATATAGTGGCAAAGGAAAATGTTTCAACTTTTATGTCTTTCTTACTTTCTTTTTTTTTAAGATTAACAAAATTTTCAAAGGTATCGTAAAATTTGCACGGGAATAGTAAGAAATTAATCAGAAGGCGCAATTTATTTCAAACCTTCATTTTACATAGTGTAGTCCAATTTAAGAATTATTTCGTCAATACGTGAGAACTTGAGTCATTATATTCTTCTCAAAAAAAACTTCGAAAACTCGCAACTTAGGCCTTAGTTATACCTTTTTGCTCGTAGTAAGTCCAAGGCCATGTTACCAAACAACTCTGTCCTTTCCAACTCTCACAAGGAGAGTCGGGAAGGACATATTTTGTGTGCGGTGGTCAAACTTAGCATGAATTTGGTGTGACAACGAAAATGAGTCAGTACGCGTTATTTACTTGGCCAAATGTTGTAGTTTACTTTAGTTTCCACAATTTGGTTATTAAATCAGAATTCGTAAGCTATTTTAGCAACCTGAAAAGGGCAAAAAATTGTGATTTTATAATTTAATGTTAACTACTGTAATACATAAAGGATTTTAACATTTTTAGAGACTGACAAAAGGCGACTCAGCTTTAGCTTGTAACATATGATTAATGACAAATAATGCTACTGAGGGATTCTCAATAGTAAACTACTTGATAAAAGCTGAAATTTTTGTTTTCATTCAACAACGATACGACTGACATGGTAGTGCTATTGTAATCATGCAACACTGTGTAGCAAGTAATAATAAAACGCTGTTAATTCATTACTTGTTTGTTGTTCTGTGAACTGATATTCAAAAGTGATTCTCAAACCCTTATGAGGAACTAGGTGCTACTGCTTTGGTATATTACTTTTAAGAGAATTAGTGAAGAGGGCAAGTTTCCAAAGAAACTGTGGTGCTGCGTAGCTGGAGGATGTAACAAGATAATTTGGTGTTATCTCTGACTAAGCTAATAACGTAAATTGGCCACTGCGAGGAGTTTCTAAAGCTGACTTTTTGAGCGTTATCCTTTCCCAGATTCAATTATTGAATAATTGTCAGTAATATAATTGCTCAGGTGCTTCCGAATTCTGTTGTAAATCCTCGTCGTTGATTACAATAATTTTAACTACTCGTATCAAGATAAGCAGCCGGTCTCCACTAGAATTTAAAGGGTTTCTTCAATAGGCAAAAAATGAAAAGTGTTACCCCGTTTATCGCTTACTGGGTGACATGGACAAAACGCGAGGCAGCCATTATGAAATTTAGCGTCCCTGCTACAATCAAGTTAGGTGATTATAGCGAGATATGCCCCATTTTTCGACCCATCAGAGCGCGCGCATCTCCAGAATCACGAGACAATTATTCCAGTACTTGATAACTCATAATTACAAGACAATTCTCGAACCACACTTCGAGCAAAGATGAAAATGTGAAAACTTATCCGAAATACAATCATTTTCTAATTCTCACAAACAATCCTGTTGTGGAAAGGTAGGTTTTTTACCAGTCATGGTGCTCGTATAATATTTTTTAAATTGAAATAGTTGTTTGGAATTGAAATTCCATGGAGACGAGGGCGAGAATCCGCCACTATTGCAGAAAACATTGAACACTCTCTCCATCAAGAAACTTTCCGTCACGTTTTGAAACTGTACGTAATCATGAAAACGAATGCAAGAATTCCAAGAAAGTGGCAATATTTTCCCAACAGGAGTGGGGTGGGGAAAATGTTTTTTTCACTAATATCATTCGAATTTTTGCTTCCAATAATTATTGACACGGCTTAGAGTACCTATGTTTATGCAGTTGAATACCATAACAGTAGTTTTGCGTTATGAAATTATTGAAGATTGTGTTCGATGAATCCACATAGACTTGGTTGGCTATGCTTGATCAACTTTGGAAAGTGTATTATTCAAGAATCATTATTGTGATTTGCCTCTTTGTCTCACACCGTGCCTCATCATTAAAAAAGGCCACTGATCCTTAAGAATCGTCCTCATCGTAATTCGGTAATCCCTTTGTTTTCTTCCTCACAATTCAAGTGACTAAATCTCCATCAGCAGTTATAAGTTCATGAGGGGACGCATGCGGCCTCAACTGTAAGTACTTTTTAGAAATGCTCGGATATTATCCTAGCATTCCTAACATTCCGAGCTGCGCGAGAGTGTGAAAATCCGTGCATATGTCAGAAATGTCACTAAACCTAAAGTACGCCAGATGATAGGGTCAGATACATTATGCTCGAAAATTCGAGTATTATGCTTTTGAGCGTCACCCAAAAAAACCTAGTATTATGCCCGAAATTATGCTCGAAAAATATAGTATTATGCTCACCTGATTTTTATTGTATTCAACATGTTTTAATAACAACTGTATAATAAAACGATCTCTTGGTCTCTCCAAGTGAGAAGCACAAATACTAGAAAGCTCATGCCTTACTTCTTGTTAGTCTTACAGCTTGTTAGCAAAAGAAATATCTTATTTACATATCTTTTCTACACCTTTTTCAGTTCAAGTTCAATGAACCTAGCCATCGCGAATGTTTCTATCTCTTATTGAACTGAAGCATAAGCGAGCATTCTATGGTTTTTCATTGCTTTTTAATATTTTTGCAGAAAAAAATACCTATTATGCCGGCATTATGCTTGATGCTCCATCCATAGTATTATGCTCAAAATTATGCCGGCATAATGTATCTGACCCTACCAGATGAGGGCGAATAAATATGAGAAGATAAATAAATTAATGCCGGATATCAAAATGTCATCAGCTAATGCTTTGCGTTACATTGTAGATTATAAAGAGAAATATATCCACAGGACCTTTCGAAACAGCGAAAGAAACTTAGCAGATACACGATTCCTATTGCTGATATTGAGCTAAATTTTCGACGCAAGATGCCTTTAAATCATGTTTCGATGATACACTACATCCGTAACAAAACAAAGATGATTCTCAACAAGATGGATCACTTCGGTGGACGTTCTTCGACGTGTTACACGGTGGTTGCGGCGATAAAAATTGTCGCCTTATTGTTCATGATTAGTGTTGCAGTCGAGTGCATATTTTATTTTCGACCTTGCTTCTGGTTTTTGTGGGGACTATTGATTTCCCTTGCTCTTTTCACTATTACAATAATAGTGAAAGGCGCAATGAACGTCATCTACTACGGCTTGAAAATCTTTATGGGATCCATGAAAGTTGCCGTATATTGCCTTAGGTCCACTACGCTATTCGCTTCAGACTGGGCCTTAAATTTGAGGATTGATTTGAGAAGTTTTTCGCAACTGTGTTGTTTGTGTAGCATAATGATAATAGTCTTCCACTGGAAAAAACATGGCGCAAGAAATGTTTGTGACAGGGTTTCTAGCGCCGTTAAAGAGGCCAAAGAGCTCTTCCATTCTACGTTTACCGTCTGCAGTTACCACGTAAGAATCATTCAAGGTAAACTGGATCGTTTGAGCAGACGTTCGTCCGCTGATTGCGTGGCAGCTGTGTTCATAAAGATCTGGGTCATGTTTGTGGTGGCGGCCATTGTTTTAAATTGCGTCTGGGTGACGATTGGAAATTTATTCATTATATGCACCTGCCTCTTCTGTTCAGTTGTGATGGTCATCTTTGGAGACATAAGGCAAATCCTGATGAATCTAGATGCTTTGCTCCAGAATAAACCGATTTCCTTCAGCAAGATTTTTACGGGATCGAGCGACGGTAGGATATGCAACCGACTGCCAATTGATTATTTAGGAGTGACAGACCACCTGACCGCACTAACATCTTGACTGGCTCCCTGACGATCTAAGCGACCAATCGACTTACTAACTGCATGACTGACCCACTGACTGGTGGACTTTGTGGGTAAGTGACTAGTCAGACAAGCCACCAGTCGACTGAATGACTTAATGACTGGTTGGCTGATCCACTCATTGAGAGACTGAACGACTGGTTGTCTGACTGTGCTGGTAAACTGACTAACACAATGAGAGACTGACTGAATACTTTTCCATTTGATGAGTGACTAACTAACTGAAACCTCGATGAGGATTCTTTAAAGAGCTTATCACCTTCATTTCTTTCAATTTTTGTTCAACTTTTTTTATTTCCTTCATTTTCCACATTCCCGTAGTTATTGTACGGTGTGATAGAGATTAGTTGCGGAAGGCATTGTAACTAGCTCAGGGGTTATCACACGGATCCCCAAATCAAGGGATTCTAGGATGAGTATCAACAAAGTTCTAGTTGCTAAATGTTATTTGATCTCTCTTTGAAATTATTACCCACTCAGAAGTTGTGACCTCTTTTCAAACCCTTTTCTTTGCAGCTGGTGGTGAGTCCTTTCCTTACTTTTGGCAGTTCAAAGAAGAAGATTCCTATTTGTGGAAGAACTTCGGCCCTTCTGACGATGTAGCTTTGGAAAAGCTCTACTGTGACGTGAATAATCTGCAAGTTACATTGAACCTTACCGATACTGCGTTGAGGTAAGTCACTGAGGTTAGACAGGAAGAGCAAGAGTGAGAATCTCACTGTTTATAATAACAGTTTTGAGTTGAGCTGTGGGGAATGCAAGAATTGCGATAACAGGATTCCGCATGTATTATTTATCAGCATGCAACAATGATAACTGGTGAACGTTGATATTGAACGGCTTTGAAATGTTAGTATTTAACCATGAAAAAGTCAAAATTTTGAACAAAAATTATTTCAGTCGGGTTCTAAACTTAAGAAGGTTTGATCTTGTACTCTGATATTCCAGGTAAGAGTAGTTCCTGAGAAGGACTGTCCTTAGTAGCGACAAATGTTTCAACAACCTGAGCGCTTAAAGCGGTTCCTTGACTCTGATAATGTTCTTCCTAGAGTTAGGTGAAGACTTCCACCAAGTTGTCTAAATTTTATTAGCTACAAATGACAACAGTCCTCTTTAGGATTACTCTGCAGCGGATAATCAGAAGATACATACGAATTTTTTCTTAGGGGTCAAACCATTTATTTATAAGAGGTTCATAAAAGTAATGGAAAGATTATGCAAGAGCTCATTTCTAGAAACGTATTTCAACACCATAATGTTTGATAGAATATGACTTGTATTTATTTATTTGAGTGGAAATATTTCGGCTAAATCGCTCGGCCCTCATCAGTTTTTTGAACCTTTAGGGGTTGTACAACATTGAACTACGTAACCAATTGCTCAAAGCGACGCCATACTGCTCAATGTTGTGAAATCACAGACTCTCCAACAGATTAAAGAGCGATTTAGCCGAAATATTCCAACGGGATTCAATAAGTTCCGGTTAGCTTTTTTTTGTATCTCATGTCTTCGCTGCGTGAAAGTAACATGTTTGTTTCTTTTTCAACACTGTCTCACCTCGAGGCCCAGGCAAATTATTTTTCATTATCTTTATCATAATTTGAAACGATCGCTCCGTTGTCGTTGGAGTAATACCGTTTTTTCTTCTTCTTCCTAGTGCGTCATCATCACAGGTGACAGTTCATTTCGAGGAGATGTCCATGCGCTCGCCCCCCTCTGCCCAGTTCTTGCTCCGTCGATGCTCAACACCATCTTACATACAGGAGCCAAAGAACAAGTCATCCACACAGTGGGTCTGGTATTGGGCAGACAACGATGGTTGGAAGAAATACACTGAAACGATGGTAAGTAACAGTCTGTCGAAATATCCTGTTATAGTATTATTCGAGTGGCTTTACCGTCATTTTGTTTCTCAGTTGGGCCAGGAGGGTTTTTCATAACAAAATGCTTGTACTTGAAAATTGGCGAAAGTTTTTGTTTGATAGGGTCTGATCGTGTGGTCTGATCTTCTAGTGGTCCCTGAAAAGGACTGTACATAAAACAACCATAACACTATGGCCACTGGCTTCTTGCTAATGAGATAAAAATTGGGATACTGGCTGGGCAACTGACCTCTTGTTAAAGTGTGCTAATGCAATAAATAAGTCAATAAATAACAGGGTTAAATGACAGACGAACAACTGGCTCGTGTATACAACTTTGGACTCGCGATATTTATGCATGTGGCATTAAGTTGTTTGCAAACTGAACCAAGACAAGAGCCTGAGTTAAGACAGACCTAGAGTTCTTTTTCTACTCTTTTAGCAGTCGTCTGGGACAAAGCAAGAACAGATAGAGGCTGCCTATTTAAATGGAGAAGGCTTCTATCCCTTTCGAAGTGGTCCTCACAATTACATTCTAACATTCTACGAAATGCCTATGCACCAAATAAATATCGACCCAAAGTTCCAGACCAGGCGGTTCGTAAGAAGAAGACCTGTGTTTGTTTCAAAACCAGCTTATCGCGCCACAAAGAGGTAAGTGAACGTGGATTGTGCTGTTGCTATTATCACTTACTAATACATATGCAATCAGAGATGGAGGGACTCGCTTGGCTCAATTAACTTGAAGCGTTGCAGTCATGATTGTAATCTGATGTAAGGGTTTTGGGATTCGTTGTGTGGTGAGGTCATCACCATCAGGTAATGAGCCTGCATACCAGTTAAACATCACGATTTGATGTTTCCTAAAGGAATACACCTGCGTCCTCTCGTCTCAATCTTAAGCGTATGGCCTTTCGTGTTCCTTTAATATGTTCCGTTTTTATTACTTTTTTAGTTATCCGAGAGGCAAGGCTAAAGATTTTGAACGGACTCGTTTGAAAGAGAACTGCGAAAAATACCGAACTGCGAGTCAACGTTTTCGCGAAACATTACCAGAAGACCAGGCCTACATTGTGATGGTGGAAGAAATTTGGAACGAAGAGTTATATGAGAGATACGAAAGGTGAACTTATAAAACGGTTAATACTGTATATAGAGAGGGATAGGTATGTGCAGAACTTACAAAGGACGACTGCACATCATATATCTGAAGCTGACTTCACAATGATTTAGTTTTTTGTCATGTTTTAATTAGATCTAAGTGAAGTCTGGTCCCTTAAAATCGGAGCCTTACAAAAACTCAAAAAAAAGAAGAAAATGGAAAAAAAGTTTAAGGGTGGAAAATAATTTTTTTTTAAAATAAGTGACGTCAAAAAGCCGTGTGATCTTTTTCACACTGCCCTGCAAAGCATTCTTCATAATGTATACCTTGGACCGCGGAAGGGCTTTTTGAACATTTCACTCTTTTAATGATTACAAGTAAAATTGCCGCAAAACGAAAGCACATTGATTGCATGGACAAATTTCTTGTTTTAGATTTCGGAGCCAAGGCTCAGTTTTGCAATTTTCCTAATTATTTTATACGGGGCTCAAGAAATTAAACAGACCATTTTTATCTGTTGCCGATGATGATCCGGTATAAGACAGCGAACGATGAAGATGACCTTATGTAATTATAGTTTTCTCAAATGAGTATATGATCTGTGCTGTTTGAGCACACGCCTAGGAATTAAATAGCCCCTCAACATTTTCCATTGTAAACGTTCATTGATTAACCCTGCTTTAATCATTTCTTCATCTAGTAAGCGGAAAAGAATCAAAAGGAAACTGAAAGCAAAAAGGGACAATCAGATAGAAAAATTGCTATTCCATGGTACTTCATCAGATGTCGTTGATGCCATCTGCAAGCAGAACTTTGATCACAGATTGCGAGGAAAGAATGGGACAATTTATGGAGAGGGGAGCTATTTTGCTGTAGACGCTTCCTACAGTAATGACTACAGCGATCCAGGTGGAGATAAGACGAGATTCATGTTCTTAGTAAGAGTTTTGACGGGGGAATCTAAGCTCGGAATGCAAGATTTTCGTCGACCACCTCTGAAAGATCCAAGCAATCCTGCCAGCGATTTGTACGATTCATGCGTCGACGACGAAAATCAACCAAAGATCTTTGTCATATTTAATGACGAACAATGCTATCCTTCTTATCTAATTCAGTATCAGCTGCTATAGTTTTTGGTAACAAAGTCAAAACATTAGAGCTTCATTACTACACATCTTATTTAGAAGCATTACAAGAGTTTCATTATTACACATCTTATTTAGAAGCATTACAAGAGCTTCACTATTACACATCTTATTTAGAAGCATTACAAGAGCTTCATTTCTGCACATGTTATTTGGAAGCATTATTAGAGCCTCATTACTACACATCTTATTTAGAAGCATTGTAAGAGCTTCATTACTTTGGTGTTGGGAATATGAATGGGAATAACATATTGATACAAACTATTCAGTTAAAAAACATATTTTAAGCAGTTGATAAGTTCTTATTTCAATGATGTTTTACTGTGTAAGTAGAGTAACTGTTACCTTTTCTTTCTGAGAGAAACTAGCTATTTAAGTCCACAAAAGCTTGTGCTAAGCTGTTAGTGATTGACGCATATTAGCCAATCGCGAGTTCGACATGAAAGCGGATGTACAATTCTACGGTGATTAAAACTCGGCGTGAGGTATTTCAATTATCTTGTGGTAAGATATACTTTAATCAAGATAATTTGGTTGATGAACAAGAGAGTAATTTTATATGGAAAAAGTTAATCTCGTACCGGAATTCCTGGAAATTGCTACTTCTTATACTTTTGGTTCTTTTCAGGCGTGTTTTTTAGGCCAATTTCATGTCGATTCCTCGATCAAGAAAGTAAGTCTTAATTATTAATTTAGCACGTACAACACCTCTTTCTATAAGGAGATTAATGTAATTGTACCTTTCATCTTACGTACTAAATTTATAATCAGTTGACTTACATGAACGGCAAACAGTTCTCTTAGAGGGGTACTTAGGGTACGCCCTTTCTCCCTCTAATTCACCGTTTATTCTGTTGTTAGGCAACAAGCTTCTAGAGTTTTTTTCTCTTTCGTTATCTTTTCAATTGAAATTCTAATCTACGCAACGGTTTCTTTATAATTTTATATTATCAATCTTGTTTTCGTTTTGGCCGATCTTAACCGGAAAAGTATGAAATTTAGTTAGAAAGTCGTTTTAGAAAGAGTAAACAAACCGAAGGTACATACTTAGTATGCGGGAACTGTTAAATGTAACTCAACGTGATTCGTTAGTACAGTCAGAAATAGTGACGTTGGTCAAATATTGACAGCTTGCTACTTGCCACCTCTATAAGCTGGAAACCGACACTTTCCTGTAGATGATGTATTACACCCCGAGCTAACAAGTTATTTGAGCCATCAAGAGAAGCAACAAAGAGAGTTTCAACTGTACAAGACTGTTAGAAATTTCCTCCAACAAAAGTACAGCGATCAGTGGAACGTGTCAGTTACTGTCTGGATATTGATCCTCGCGCATGTCAAAAGATCTACAACACACGTGCTGAAATTCTTCAGCATAATGTTATTTTGGACTGACCATGGTCATAATTTCCTATGAATAAATTGACAGAATGTTTTCATTCCTTAAAAGAAAAATTCATTCATTCCTTAAAAGAAAAATACATACTTAAGAGTACAAAGTAGATTAAAGGCTCTAAATAAGGTTTTCAGTCAATAAGCTGGGCGGCGTTGTTATAGGAATGTTTGCTCTGTTAGCTGTTATCATTGCGATCAAATATAATTTTGCCGGAAGTTTAGTAATTGTTGTTGATGGTAATATCTCACTGTCAATATTACGCTGATTCGATGTTTTATATACCTGCAGAATGCATGTCGTAAGTTAAGGTCCAAAATTATGCAGAAAATTAAAAATTCTGACTACCGGTACACTATCACGAAACATTCAATGTGAAATAGTTTATTGAGGAATGGTCAGTCAGTCATCCGACAACAACAATGTGTCGTAACATATACTTATTACAACATAGAATATGCTAGCAAGTCTAACTTGAAAAGCTTGAAAAATTAAGTGTACCACGCCAGATACGAAAAACCACTAAAAAACCATTCTTTAGATGTGGCCAAAAAATATGTGGAAACGTATTCCCCATCTAATGCAGTGGCACGGAACCGGGGAAGAGGTACAAACAAACCCATAACTCCATAGAAAAAATTTAACTAAATTGACAACAGCAAACAGGAAGACTGACTGAGCTAGAATGATTAACATTCCCCGCTAAAACATTAAATACTCAAAACTCTCCCCTGAGAATACTAAAACCTCTCAATCGTGCCATCAGAATAGTAATTTCTGACTAATTCGTTCCTAGTCACTCAACCGTCAGAAATTACATTTATCAAAAAATGTACATGGTTCCAGCCGAAGATCCGGCCATGGTGAATCTTTTCAAAGGACGATTGACCATCGATCCTACATTGGATACAGCAGCCAAACTCTTGACTCGTAAAATGGAAATTTAAAGAATCCCAATACAAGTCACGGTTTCAAAAAGCAAGCCATCAAACAGATCGATCCTGATATAGAACTCTACGTTAAAAAAATGAGACAACTACCAGCATCGTTATCGGTCGATGCCGATCCTACCAAGTTGGTAAAATCCTTAAAAGACGAAGAAGGAGATTTGGTGACTCCCATACAACAGAAATTGCTGAAAAGAATTTTGAGTGAAGTCACCCCCAAAAGAGAACCGGTCACACCCGGAAGAGCACCCAAAAGAGAACCGACGACGACGACACCTCTAAAACCGTCGAGAATTCCCGTCAAGATACCCAAGAAACAAACCCCAAGCAAAAACGTGCCGTGGGATGAATTGCCATTTGCTCAAGAAGAACCTGAATTAGATATAGACGGTACTCTCAACAAAACTTTGAGAAAAATGCGAAAAATATCTGCCAAATATTCCAAAACACCACGAGCCCTCAAAATCCTAAAACCCGCTAAAGGATGGACAAGTTGGAATCCGTCTGGGAAAAAAAAAAGAAGAAACAGAAAAGTGTTTTAGGTTCCGTTGCCAAAAAATTGGCGTTTGATGATGATGATGATGATGGTACTTAAAAAAATTTATTTGTAACTCCGCATGTTTTTTTTTTTACAACTAGGTCAAACGAAGACGGGACAACGTGCCCAACGTTCTTGTTGTAAATATATCTTTGTAATGTTCATAAAAAAATAAATCCTTGTCAGTCTAGAAACGAGACTGTTCCATTCTATTCCGGAATAGTGAGGCTTAAATTTCAAACAATAAAAAAAACTTTTTTTTTTTTTACGCAATAACTTCTTTGTGTTGTTCATAATACGTAAAAATTTCCATGAGTCTTGCCATAAGTCTATTCCATTCGTTCCTACTATAGTGAGGTTGAATTTCACAAACTGGATTCTTTTGAATTTTTGATATGTAGCATAGTTCACAGGTGGGCGATCAGGTATAGTCTCGTACATCTTCTCAACAATATTAGAAAATCTTTCTGCCATAACCACTTCATTATGATGCGCAAATAGAGGCCAACGTACCCAATTCTCATTCTGCAATTTATACACCAATTGAATCGACGTTACAAGATGGCGTTTGGTAACGAGTTCTGCTTTGGGATCCGTACTCTGTTTCATCAAGTCTGTTTCCAAATGAAGTTCTTCTTCGATGCTTCTTTGTCGCGTCTTCATAGGTGTAATGATTTTTTTTTCTAAAACGCAATACACCATCAATAATTTATAGTGTCATTCTTATCATATTTGACAGGTGATATATATCATTCGTCAGCGGTGATGTGGTTGGGGACAGTATATAAAAGGGGACGTCTTTCATCACTCCATCACACATTTCCGAAGTGCAGAGACACAATCAACATCAGAATAAGAAGATGTCACCGCATACAAGATCAATTGAATCAGCTGCAAAATAATCTCGTCAAAGACTGAACTGTATAAAAACAAAACCCTATCTCATTTCAACATTAACAATCCTATATCATGGCCAGAAAACGACAACACGCCGCGCGTAATTCAAAGAAAAGAAGAAGAAGAAGAAGAAGAAGAATCATGGCCAGAAAACGACAACACGATCCACGTAGACCAAAGAAAAGAAGACAAAGAGGAGGGAAATTTGACATACAGAAAAAAATCGAAAAATTAGGAATTGAATTTCATCCCTTTTCACTCTCAAAACGTAAAAGATATCAATACCCGGGTTCTGGAACATTTCTCAAAAAACGACTCGCACGCGGTGATCCTGGTATCAATCGTTTGGACAGAATCGCCAAACAACACGATATAGACTATTCCAATGCCAAAAACATACGAGACAAATGGAAAGCTGACCTAAAAATGGTCCATGCCATCGATGCACTTCCTGGTAAAAAATTACCCATGGAAAAATTGTCGCGAAATATTATCGCCGCTAAAAGAAAATTCGAATTGTAAATAACCCTCCTCACCTAGATATAAAAACAACGCGCACCATCCATCGTCATTATACCAGAGTATACTCGCGTAACCTACAAGAAGACATCATGGTTCGAAGAAGAAAAAACAGATGGAGAGGAACAAGAAGAAGAAGAACATCGAACAGACAAAAAGGAGGTCTCCTACCCTTAGCAGCACTCGTTCCAGCATTCATCGCCGCAGGCAAAGCCATCGGATTAGGTGCTCCTAGAGGAGGTGCTTCATTTGGTGCTAAAAAAGCTCTAGAAGCTGCCACCAGAAAAAGGAGGAAAAAAACCACCCAAATAAAGAGACCCCCTGCTTTAACACCTAAACAATTACAATTTCTGAGAAAAACCGGACCCATTTTTGGAAGAGCTATCAGCTCCTCCGAAAAAATAAGAAAAAATGTATTAGGAATATCATAACCATTTGTAAATAAACATCATTCCTTTTTTTTTCAAACTCGTTTATTTTATCTACTAATGTTTTTCATCCGTGACTACGATGAATGAAAAAAAGGACACATATAAAAAAACTTGTTTCATACTATAAAATTTTTTAATCCCATTCAAAAAAAAATTGAAATCAGAAAAAAACAAATTCTCCTACAACTCATTCGACAAACAATCCAATTCATTCAACAAAAACCTTTTTTTTTTTTACAAATCAACAGGAAAAAAAACCTTCCTCTTAAAGAAAATCTCACAAAAAAAACAACGGGGGAAAAAAACCGTGATTGTATTTCATCAAATCATTGAAAAAAAAAAATCATCAAATGAATAAAAAAACAACCTCAAATCAGATAAGACATTGCACAACCTTCCCGCCCGCAAGAAGAGAAGCAACCACGTGCAAGAAAAAAACTGAATCAACAACAAAACAATCTCATAAAAGGACTCATCAAAAACAATTTTCTTCAATCAAACAAAACTTCTTTTAATGTACAATACTATTTTTTCTGTTTTTACAATAATGTGAATTAAATAACAAACGAAACAGATAATAAAAAACGAAAAACGCCTCCTCAACACAAAACAGCGGTGTTTTCGAATTGACATCGACTTCATTTACTAAAAAAACAAAAAATTCGCACATTAAAAAAATTTGTATCTTATCGCAAACACACACGTGTAAAAAATATAATCTCATCTTACTCTGGCAATCCCAACTGCCGCGCTCACAACAGTCTCCCAGTGAAAATTCCTCCGAATAAATGCCACGATTGAAATATTGACATACCGCCATTAAAATTAAAAACAAAACAAATGGAAAAAGCAAACGCGCCAGGATAAAATACTTTGACATGACTGATAAAAAAATCCTCCTTCTAGACGCTTTGTAAATAGACGAGTAAGATGACGCGACGAGTAAATGGCAAATGGCCGACGCGCCCAAACCACTGCGCCCGCGATAAACTAGTGCTCAGGCGCCCACGCGGTTTTCGTGACGTCATTAGTATGGAATGTGAAAATAAGCGATTCTGATTGGTCCATTTGTACCACGTGATCAAAATACTCGATTCTGATTGGTCTGACGCTATACCGACACACTATTACTACTGACATGTTATGATTGAAATGAACCTCACTCTCGTGAAAAAATCACGCAATCGCCACTCCTGTGATATGCTTCGAGAACTATAGAATTTTGATCGTCATAAATTTAAATACAATACCAGGGTCTGTTTAAAACAGTAAACAATGTTCAAACGACACGGGAAGTCTTAGACACAAGATGCCTGTCAAGAGCGTCTCACAAAAACGTCGCAAAACCGTCGAACTGACGGACAAACCGGAGAATGTTTGGCATCACAAGGCTTCCAACGTGCTTGAACGGGCCAACATGCACTTTGATTCTTCATGTACCATCGTCCGGAATCAAGCAAAGATCATTTTCGACAAAATGGATCACTTGAGCGGACATTCTTCGGCTGGTTACGCAGCAGTTGCGATGATAAAAATTTTCGCTATATTTTTCTTGATTATTGTTGTGGTCGAGTGCATATTTCATTTTCGATCTTATTTCTGGTTGTTGTGCGGATATATGTGTTCTCTCTTATATTTCGCTGTGGTGATAGTAGTGCGAGGCGCTAACATGATTTTGGTGAGTGCATGGGCTATTTTTAAGTACGTCTTCTTCTCCATCGGGAAAATGCTTTTGGCATCGACAGGAATTGCCATATATTACTTAAAGTCCTCCATGCTATTCGTTTTAAATGGCGCGGTTATTATTGAGATTCCCACACGATGGACCTCGAATTTGAGCATTAACGCGATAGTAAAGGTGATCAAAACTGTAGCTATTTTGTTTATGTTACGATCTTTCACTTACTTCCTTCACTTGGTTGTGGCGTACATCATCAGAGTTCCAAGCATAATCTGGGAAAATGTGGTTGCTATTTTAGAATATGTTCGAAATTCTAACTCGGAGATCTTCCTTGCACTCATCAGACTTGCCTTTAAGTGCCTAACATCGATTTCTTCGCTTGCTTCGAATTGCTGCACTGTTACATATTACCAAATCAATTTGATCTCGAACTCTGTCGTCAGTTTAACAAACAGTTGGAATGGTATTTTACTGGTATGCTTCTTGTTTGGGGTACTGGTGCTGGTGTTACTCCTCAGAGCTACAGCTTTTACTAGCAACTTGTTAGGAGGTAACGAACTTGCTGTTGAATGGTAGGCCGAGGCTTAAATATGTAACTGACTGCCAACTGTGGGGACTGACATACCGATCAGTTGACGTGACTGATTAACTGACTGACTAACCGACTGACCAATTACCTACGAAAAAATCGGTACCGCCGAGTGACTGACAGGCTGATTGACGGGATGAATGACCGCCTGGTCCATGGTGGCAACCTACTCACGGGCTGACTTAGTATTTAATAAACGAACTTATCAACTGACTAACTGACTGGCTGACGGAGACGAGGTACCTCAGTTGTTGGCGCGCTAATTCCCTAATCAAGTGGATAGGTTTAATTTCTTGATTGACATGTTGGTCTTTTAAATTATGCAGTGCTCTATTTTCTCCACTTTTCCTCTGCAGCTGGTTGCAAGTCCACGCCTTACTGTTGGCAGTTCAAAGAGAAAGATTCTTATTCGTGGAGAAGTTTTGGCCCTTCCGACAATGTGGCTTTGGAAGAGCTTTATTGTGACGTGGATAATCTAGAAGTTAAAGTGAACCTTAAAGATACTGCATCAAGGTAAGACAAAAGAGGAAAGAGTCAATGCCTAAATATCGCGGTTAGGAGGCACTGTTTCGTTGAGTTGTGAGATATTTCGTTTTTGCATTGCAAAGACTGTGTACCGTGTTTATTAGCATGTGATGGTGATGAGAGGTAAACAGCAGTATTGAACGGCTTTGCACTATTAGGTTCGGCCCATGAATTTGTCAGCATTGCACACTACAATGCTTTTGATTTTGTTTCCTTACATGATTGGGTGTGATTGTCCAATTTGATTGTCCAATTTGATTGTCCGGTGAATCGCAGTTCTGATTAAGAACTTCGTGTAGATTACTAAAGCAAAAGTCATCGTGAGAACTAAGTGGGCCCTTGACTCTCAGTAATACCTTCCCTCAGTCTATCGAAATGTTAGTCTGTAGAAAGGACAAAAATCCCTTTCAAGACCACTTTCGTCGGGACGTTAAGAATACACTATCAGTCATTACTCTTGGGTTCAAACCACTTACCTAAAAACAAATTTCATCAAAGCAACGGTAAGATTATATGCTAAAGCTGATTGCACGAAATCATTTCAACACCGTTTCACCAGAGGCCCGACCTGATTATTCCTCATTAAATTATCATCCCCCCAATGTATCGTCTTGGAAGGCATTATGACTTTACTTTTACTCTGTAGTGTTGTTGTGACACCATCATCGCAGATGTCAGTTAATTTCGAGGAGATGTCCATGCACTCACCCCTCTCTACCCGGTTATTGCTCCGTCGATGCTCGACACCATCTTACATACAGGAGCCGAACAACAAGTCATCCACATTGTGGGTTTGGTATTGGAAAGACAACGATGGTTGGAAGAAATACACTAAAACGAAAGTAAGCAATAGAGGAGGAAACTAGTAATGCTTTTCATTCATGAGGGCCAGCAAGGTTTTCAATACAAATATCTGTAACTAGAAGCTTCTGTAAGTTTCTGTTTCTGTGGTGTGTTCAAGGGCCTGTGCTTCACACAAAAAGTGCGGTGAATGGCTTCTTGTTTAAGTGTGTGAGTGTAATCGATAACTCAATGCATAATAGGGTTTGGTGAATGCGACACTATTGGCGTGAGTGAAGGTGTTTTTGGAAGAATATTTGGCCAAAAACGCTTTGCTTTTCACTTTTTTTAGCAGTCTTCTGGGATTAAGCAAGAGAAGATAGAGGCTGCCTATTTGAATAAAGATCGTATTTATTCCTTTCGAAACGGTTCTCACAATTACATCGTCAAATTCTACAAAACACCTATGTACCAAATGAATACGGACTCACAGTTCCCTACCAAGCGACAAGTTAGAAGGAGACCATTGTTTGTTTCAAAATCAGCACCTGAGAACACAAATAGGTAAGTTACCGCATATTGTGATATGATTATTGCTACTGACTGATATGCAATCCGAAAGAAATATAAGGGACCTGGCTGCTCGATTGACATAAAGCAATCCCTGTATTGTTGTCGTCTCAATTGTTATTCGATGGGAAGGGGTCGGGGCGTTCATTATGTGAGGTCTTATCATGTGCTCGTTATCATCTGAGAGGGAGCGTGTGTACTTGTTTCAATATAAATTTGATTTGGATTTTGTTATAACTATCATCACTAGTTCTTAAAAAGCTAGGTTTTTGTTAAGAGCCAGCACGTATTTCCCTGTAACTGGAGCATGTGATTATCGATGTTCCTCTATCTAACACATCTCATTTTTAAATCGTTTTAGGTATCATACGGGCAAGGCTAAGGATTTTGAACGAAAGCGTTTGAGAAAGCACTGCAAAGAATACCGAACTGTAAGTCAACGTTTTCACGAAACATTGCCGAAACTCAAGGCCTCCATATTGATGGTGGAAAAAATTCGGAATGACGAGTTACGCGAGAGATACGAAAGGTGAGACTTAACTCACTATCTTGTTGGAAGATTTTTACAGAACTTAGTAGGAACAGCCACCCAAGCACGAAGTGCTGGGGCTTTATTCGAAATAATCTTGTTTTTTCTTCTAGTTTGACTATGCCTGAGTCACAGTCGGTCATTATGTTCACATCACTTCGCCACCAAACGCTTGACAACTACACTCTTTTACCGATTAACATTTTCTTTGTCATTTTGCCATTAGTAAGTGCGAACGATTTCAAAGGAAACTAACACTAAGAGGGTACGATGAGATCGAAAAGTTGCTTTTCCATGGTACAACACCAGATGTTGTTGATGCAATCTGCAAACATAACTTTGACCACAGATTGCGAGGGAAGAACGGGACACAGTATGGAGAAGGAAGCTACTTTGCTGTGGATGCCTCCTACAGTAATAACTACAGTAGTGATGATGGCGAGAAGACGAGATACATGTTTCTGGCAAGTGTGTTAACAGGGGAATCAAAGCTTGGACGTAGAAACTTTCGTCGACCGCCTCTAAAAGATCCAAGCAATCCTACTAGCGATTTGTATGATTCTTGTGTTGACGACGAAAATCAACCAAAGATCTTTGTAATTTTTAATGACGAACAGTGCTATCCTTCTTATTTGATTAAATATCACTTGAAATAGGTTTATGTTTCGAGGCCATATGCATCACAATGGTAAACATTCAGGAACAAGCGCTTTCAATAACCCTATCAGTTGCAGGGAGAACACGAAATGAAACCCCATTAAGAAAAGAGAAAAATAGATTGTAAAAAAAGATACAAGGACAAACGGAATTTACTACAGAGTGCTATAGCTTGATAAGCCGTAAAATTTTCACAACGTATAGCGTGAAAGAATAAGCTGTCATTCTGTTAAATGGACAAAATTAAAAAAGTTAATCAAACATCAGAAGTCAGAGTTTATGAAGATTTAAGTACATGTGTGCTTTTATAGAGTAACGCAAATAATTAGCGAATAATTTGCATGCTACCTAAGTTTCAACTCCTTCTGTTAAACCTTAAAACGTTTTCAAATTTCCATGGGTTTACCGGTGCAAGGAAAGATAGGTTTTTTACCAGTCATGGTGCTCGTATAATATTTTTTAAATTGAAATAGTTGTTTTGGAATTGAAAATTCCATGGAGACGAGGGCGAGAATCCGCCACCATTGCAGAAAGCATTGAACACTCTCTTTACCAAGAAATTTTCCGTTACGTTTTGAAAGTGAACGTATTCATGAAAAGGAATGCAAGAATTCCAAGAAAGTGGCAATATTTTCCCAACAGGAGTGGGGTGGGGAAAATGTCTTTCACTAATATCATTCGAATTTTTGCTTCCAATATTTACTGACACGGCTTAGAATAACTATGTTTATGCATTTGAATACCATAACAGTAGTTTTGCGTTATGAAATTATTGAAGATTGTGTTCGATGAATCTACATAAACTTGGTTGGCTATGCTTGATCAACTTTGGAAATTGTATTATTCAAGAATCATTATTTTGATTTGCCTCTTTGTCTCACACCGTGTCTCAAACCGTGCCCATGCAACCGTGCTTGTTTGTTGTCAAGCCCCTCCAGTCAGTCGCTTTCGCGTGATTAATGCTAATGTGACTAAATCTCCATCAGCAGCTATAACTTTATTGAAGAGCTTACGGTAACTAAAAAATCGAAGGCAAATGGTTTCGTAGCACATCGCCCTCGGCTTATCAATTGGACTATCCTTATGTCAACGATATCAGCGAAAAAAAAACAGTAAAATATCGCAGGAAAACATCGATCACCTTCCCGTTCAAATACGCGTCTGTGTTTATTTCCTTCTATCACGTCATCGAAACGAAACCGAAAATGTTAACCTCACTTTCATGAACAATCACACAATCACCGCTTCCGCCTTGGACACCTGCTTTTACAATTTTGTAGAATTGTGAGCTTCATAGATCAGGTTCCAGAATACCAAGGGCCGTTCGAAACGGTAAAAGAAACTCAGCAGATACAAGATTCCTATTGCCGATACTGAGCTAAATTCTTCGACGCATGATGCCTTTAAATCCCGATTCGAGGAGAGATTCTTTCCGTAACAAAGCAAAGATGATTCTCAACATGATAGATCACTTCAGTGGACGTTCTTCGACTTGTTACGCGGTAGTTGCGGCGATGGAAATTGTCGCCTTATTGTTCGTGATTATTGTTGCAGTCGAGTGCGTATTTTATTTCCGATATTGCTTCTGGTTTTTGTGTGGACTATCGATTTCCCTTGCTCGTTTCACTTTTAAAATAACACTAAAAATCGCAATGTTCGTCTTCTACTACGGCTTGAAAATCTTTATGGGATCAATGAAAGTTGTCATATATTGCCTTAAGTCCATTACGCTATTCGCTTTATATAGCGTGTTTACTGTTTTGCGTTTCCTAATTGCCTACCCTTCAGACTGGGCCTTAAATTTGAGGATTGATTTGAGAAGTTTTTTGCAACTGTGTTGTTTGTGTAGCTTTATGAAAATGGTCTCCCACTGGAACAAACATGGCGCAAGAAATTTTTGTGACAGGGTTTCTAGCGCCGTTAAAAAGGCCAAAGAGCACTTCGATTCTACGTTTACCGTCTGCAGTTACCACCTAAGAATCATTCAAGACAAACTGGATCGTTTGAGCAGACATTCGTCCACTGGTTACGTGGCAGCTGTGTTCATAAAGATTTGTGTCATGTTTGTGGTGGCGGCCATTGTTTGGAAGTGCGTCTGGGTGACGATTGGAAATTTATTCATTATATGCGCCTTCCTCTTCTGTTCAGCTGTGATGTTCATCTTTGAAGACATAAGGAAAATCCTGAAGAATCCAGTTGCTTTGTTCCAGAATGAACCGATTTCCTTCAGCAACATTTTTAAGGGATTGAGCGACGGTAGGATATACAACTGACTGCCAGTTGATTGTTTAGGAGTGACGGACCACCTGACCGCACTAACATCTTGACTGACTCACTTAATGACGGTATAAGCGACCAATCGACTTACTAACTGCATGACTGACCTACTAACTGGTGGACTTTGTGGGTAAGTGACTGGCAGACAAGCCACCAGTCGACTGAATGACTTAATGACTGGCTGGCTGATCCACTCATTGAGAGACTGAACGACTGACAAACACAATGAGAGACTGACTGAATACTTTTCCATTTGACAAGTGACTAACTGACTGAAACCTCGATGAGGATTCTTTAAAGAGCTTATCACCTTCATTTCTTTCAATTTTTGTTCAACTTTTTTTATTTCCTTCATTTTCCACATTCCCGTCGTTATTGTACGGTGCGATAGAGATTAGTTGCGGAGGGCATTGTCGCTAGCTCAGGGGTTATCACACGGATCCCCAGATCAAGGGATTCTGGGATGAGTATCAAAAAAGTTCTAATTGCTAAATGTTATTTGATCTCTCTTTGAAATTATTACCCACGCAGAAGTTGTGACCTCTTTTCAAACCCTTTTCTTTGCAGCTGGTGGTGACTTTCCTTACTTTTGGCAGTTCAAAGAAGAAGATTCCTATTTGTGGAAGAACTTTGGCCCTTCTGACGATGTGGCTTTGGAAAAGCTCTATTGTGACGTGAATAATCTGCAAGTTACATTGAACCTTACCGATACTGCGTTGAGGTAAGTCACTGAGGTTAGACAGGAAGGGCAAGAATAAGAATCTCACTGTTCATAATGAGATAACAGTTTTGAGTTGAGCTGTGGCGAATGCAAGTATTGCGATAACAGGATTCCGCATGTATCATTCATCAGCATGCAACAATGATAATTGGTGAACATTGATATTGAACGGCTTTGAAATGTTAGTATTTTACCATGAAAAAGTCAAAATTTTGAACAAAAATTCTTTCAGTCGGGTTCTAAACTTAATAAGGTTTGATCTTGTACTCTGATATTCCAGGTAAGAGTAGTTCCTGAGAGGGACTGTCCTTAGCAGCGACAAACGTTTCAACAACCTGAGCGCTTAAAGCGGTTCCTTGACTCTGATAATGTTCTTCCTAGAGTAGTTTGGTGAAGACTTCCACCAAGCTGTCCAAATTTTATTAGCTACAAATGACAACAGTCCTCTTTAGGATTACTCTGCATCGGATAATCAGAAGATACATACGAATTTTTCCTTAGGAGTCAAACCATTTATTTATAGGAGGTTCATCAAAGTAATGGGAAGATTATGCAAGTGTTCATTTCTAGAAACGTATTTCAACACCATGATGTTTGATAGAATATGACTTGAATTTATTTACTTGCGTGAAAATATTTCGGCTAAATCGCTCAGCCCTCATCAGTTTGTTGAAGTGTTAGTGGTTGTACAACTTTGAACTACGTAACCAGTTGCTCAAAGTGACGCCATACTGCTCAATGTTGTGCAATGTTGTGAAATCACAGACTCTCCAACAGATTAATGAGCGATTCAGCCGAAATATTCCAACGAGATTCAATAAGTTCCAGTTAGCTTTTTTTGTATCTCATGTCTTCGCTGCGTGAAAGTAACAATTTTGTTTCTTTTTCAACGCTGTTTCACCTCGAGGCCCAAGCAAATTATTTTTCATTATCTTTATCATAATTTGAAACAATCGCTCCATTGTCGTTGGAGTAATACCGTTATTTCTTCTTCTTTCTAGTGCTTCATCATCACAGGTGACAGTTCATTTCGAGGAGATGTCCATGCGCTCGCCCTCCTCTGCCCAGTTCTTGCTCCGTCGATGCTCAACACCATCTTATATACAGGAGCCAAACAACAAGTCATCCACACAATGGGTTTGGTATTGGGAAGACAACAATGGTTGGAAGAAATACTCTGAAACGATGGTAAGTAACAGTCGAGCAAAATATCCTGTTATAGTATTATTCGAGTGGCTTTACCGTCACTTTGTTTCTCAGTTGGGCCAGGAGGGTTTTTCAGAACAAAACCCTTGTACTTAAAAATTGGCGAAAGTCTTTGATTGATAGGGTCTGATCGTGTGGTCTGATCTTCAAGTGGTCTCTGAAAAGGACTGTACATAAAACAACCATAGCGCCGTGGCCACTGGCTTCTTGCTAATGGGATAATAATTGGGATACTGGCTGGGCAACTGACCTCTTGATAAAGTGTGCTAAGGCAATTAATAAGTCAATAAATAACAGGGTTAAATGACAGACGAACAACTGGCTCGTGAATACAACTTTGGACTCGCGATATTTATGCTTGTGGCATTAAGTTGCTTGCAAACTGAACCAGAGTCAAGACAGACCTAGAGTTCTTTATCTACTCTTTTAGCAGTCGTCTGGGACAAAGCAAGAACAGATAGAGGCTGCCTATTTAAATGGAGAAGGCTTCTATCCCTTTCGAAGTGGTCCTCACAATTACATTCTAACATTCTACGAAATGCCTATGCACCAAATAAATATCGACCCAAAGTTCCAGACCAGGCGGTTCGTAAGAAGAAGACCTGTGTTTGTTTCAAAACCAGCTTATCACGCCACAAAGAGGTAAGTGAACGTGGATTGTGCTGTTGCTATTATCACTTACTAATACATATGCAATCAGAGATGGAGGGACTCGCTTGGCTCAATTAACTTGAAGCGTTGCAGTCATGATTGTAATCTGATGTAAGGGTTTTGGGATTCGTTGTGTGGTGAGGTCATCACCATCAGGTAATGAGCCTGCATACCAGTTAAACATCACGATTTGATGTTTCCTAAAGGAATACACCTACGTCCTCTCGTCTCAATCTTAAGCGTATGGCCTTTCGTGTTCCTTTAATATGTTCCGTTTTTATTACTTTTTTAGTTATCCGAGAGGCAAGGCTAAAGATTTTGAACGGACTCGTTTGAAAGAGAACTGCGAAAAATACCGAACTGCGAGTCAACGTTTTCGCGAAACATTACCAGAAGACCAGGCCTACATTGTGATGGTGGAAGAAATTTGGAACGAAGAGTTATATGAGAGATACGAAAGGTGAACTTATAAAACGGTTAATACTGTATATAGAGAGGGATAGGTATGTGCAGAACTTACAAAGGACGACTGCACATCATATATCTGAAGCTGACTTCACAATGATTTAGTTTTTTGTCATGTTTTAATTAGATCTAAGTGAAGTCTGGTCCCTTAAAATCGGAGCCTTACAAAAACTCAAAAAAAAAAGGAGAAAATGGAAAAAAAGTTTAAGGGTGGAAAATAATTTTTTTTTAAAATAAGTGACGTCAAAAAGCCGTGTGATCTTTTTCACACTGCCCTGCAAAGCATTCTTCATAATGTATACCTTGGACCGCGGAAGGGCTTTTTGAACATTTCACTCTTTTAATGATTACAAGTAAAATTGCCGCAAAACGAAAGCACATTGATTGCATGGACAAATTTCTTGTTTTAGATTTCGGAGCCAAGGCTCAGTTTTGCAATTTTCCTAATTATTTTATACGGGGCTCAAGAAATTAAACAGACCATTTTTATCTGTTGCCGATGATGATCCGGTATAAGACAGCGAACGATGAAGATGACCTTATGTAATTATAGTTTTCTCAAATGAGTATATGATCTGTGCTGTTTGAGCACACGCCTAGGAATTAAATAGCCCCTCAACATTTTCCATTGTAAACGTTCATTGATTAACCCTGCTTTAATCATTTCTTCATCTAGTAAGCGGAAAAGAATCAAAAGGAAACTGAAAGCAAAAAGGGACAATCAGATAGAAAAATTGCTATTCCATGGTACTTCATCAGATGTCGTTGATGCCATCTGCAAGCAGAACTTTGATCACAGATTGCGAGGAAAGAATGGGACAATTTATGGAGAGGGGAGCTATTTTGCTGTAGACGCTTCCTACAGTAATGACTACAGCGATCCAGGTGGAGATAAGACGAGATTCATGTTCTTAGTAAGAGTTTTGACGGGGGAATCTAAGCTCGGAATGCAAGATTTTCGTCGACCACCTCTGAAAGATCCAAGCAATCCTGCCAGCGATTTGTACGATTCATGCGTCGACGACGAAAATCAACCAAAGATCTTTGTCATATTTAATGACGAACAATGCTATCCTTCTTATCTAATTCAGTATCAGCTGCTATAGTTTTTGGTAACAAAGTCAAAACATTAGAGCTTCATTTTTACACATCTTATTGAGAAGCGCTATAAGAGCTTTATTACTACACATCTTATTTAGAAGCATTACAAGAGCTTCATTATTACACATCTTATTGAGAAGCATTATAAAAGCTTCATTACCACACATCTTATTTAGAAGCATTACAAGAGCTTCATTTCTGCACATGTTATTTGGAAGCATTATTAGAGCCTCATTACTACACATCTTATTTAGAAGCATTGTAAGAGCTTCATTACTTTGGTGTTGGGAATATGAATGGGAATAACATATTGATACAAACTATTCAGTTAAAAAACATATTTTAAGCAGTTGATAAGTTCTTATTTCAATGATGTTTTACTGTGTAAGTAGAGTAACTGTTACCTTTTCTTTCTGAGAGAAACTAGCTATTTAAGTCCACAAAAGCTTGTGCTAAGCTGTTAGTGATTGACGCATATTAGCCAATCGCGAGTTCGACATGAAAGCGGATGTACAATTCTACGGTGATTAAAACTCGGCGTGAGGTATTTCAATTATCTTGTGGTAAGATATACTTTAATCAAGATGATTTGGTTGATGAACAAGAGAGTAATTTTATATGGAAAAAGTTAATCTCGTACCGGAATTCCTGGAAATTGCTACTTCTTATACTTTTGGTTCTTTTCAGGCGTGTTTTTTAGGCCAATTTCATGTCGATTCCTCGATCAAGAAAGTAAGTCTTAATTATTAATTTAGCACGTACAACACCTCTTTCTATAAGGAGATTTATGTAATTGTACCTTTCATCTTACGTACTAAATTTATAATCAGTTGACTTACATGAACGGCAAACAGTTCTCTTAGAGGGGTACTTAGGGTACGCCCTTTCTCCCTCAAATTCACTGTTTATTCTGTTGTTAGGCAACAAGCTTCTAGGGTTTTTTTCTCTTTCGTTATCTTTTCAATTGAAATTCTAATCTACGCAACGGTTTCTTTATAATTTTTATATTATCAATCTTGTTTTCGTTTTGGCCGATCTTAACCGGAAAAGTATGAAATTTAGTTAGAAAGTCGTTTTAGAAAGAGTAAACAAACCGAAGGTACATACTTAGTATGCGGGAACTGTTATATGTAACTCAACGTGATTCGTTAGTACAGTGAGAAATAGTGACGTTGGTGAAATATTGACAGCTTGCTACTTGCCACCTCTATAAGCTGGAAACCGACACTTTCCTGTAGATGATGTGTTACACCCCGAGCTAACAAGTCATTTGAGCCATCAAGAGAAGCAACATAAAGAGTTTCAACTGTACAAGACTGTTTGAAATTTCCTCCAACAAAAGTACAGCGACCAGTGGAACGAGTCAGTTACTGTCTGGATATTGATCCTCGCGCATGTCAAAAGATCTACAACACACGTGCTGAAATTCTTCACCATAATGCTATTTTGGACTGACCATTGTCATAATTTCCTATGAATAAATTGACAGAATGTTTTCATTCCTTAAAAGAAAAATACATTCATTCCTTAAAAGAAAAATACATACTTAAGAGTACAAAGTAGATTAAAGGCTCTAAATAAGGTTTTCAGTCAATAAGCTGGGCGGCGTTGTTATAGGAATGTTTGCTCTGTTATCATTGCGATCAAATATAATTTTGCCGGAAGTTTAGTAATTGTTGTTGATGGTAATATCTCACTGTCAATATTACGCTGATTCGATGTTTTATATACCTGTAGAATGGATTTCGTAAGTTAAGGTCCAAAATTGTGCAGAAAATTCAAATTACTATTTGCAGGTGTATATTTGCTTGCAGGTATGATAACCCACAGTGCGCTGCTATGCATTGTGAACCGTTCTTCATTACCAGGTCAAGTGCCTCAGCTCTGTCTGAGAAAACAAATAATGAGTAATTCTAAGAGACAGCTGAAATCGGCTAACATGTGAAAACACTTTTTGCTCCCTTCCCCCAAAGATTAAAACAAAAAAAACACTGTATGTGTGTTTTCGCTGCACTGGAGCGAAAACAAGTTATTGGCCGAGGTTATACATTCAATTTTTACTTCTTTCATATCATTATGTAAAGGTGGTTTTCCCCGTGACTTTTGCGTTACATCAATGTCTCAGTGTTCATGCGAACGGCCGGAGGCAGTCATATGAATATCACATGACGAGTGTCACTTATCTGAATGATTTCACCCATTGGTTACTTTCAGACAGTGACCTCGCTCTAAACCAGTGACCTCGCTCTAAACAATGATACGCTGTAAATCCAACTACCACAACGCACACGGAATCGATTCTCGGAAAGCAGATCAACAACGTACGAACTCAGTTGCTTTAACCTACACATATTTCCCACAGATTCTTGCTGCACGCCATTAAGTGAGGTAAATCATTGTTACCTTTTTTTGGTAAGAAATATTAGCCCGTAAACGGGTCGATTTTCTCAATCGATCCGTCTCAATCTTCATTTGTTTGATTCAGTGTTGTACGGAAGTGGCGTCAGAAACGATCCCATGTTGTTTCCAAGGCATGGGGTTTTGAATCTTTTGAAACTGCATTTGAAAACTTATCAAATAAGTTACCAATCAAAATAGAGGAGAAGGTTAAAAAAGGGGAAAACAAACAGATTAAAAAATAAGGCGAAAATGAACAGGAAAAATACAAGATGAAATATTATCCTCACTAATGCATATGATGTCAAATATTTTCTTCAGACTGACTGTCACCTAATACCTTAATTCAATTTACGCCCTTACACTTTTTAAACTGAAAAAAATGATATTAATAATAACAATTAAAAAAAGAAGAAGAAAAGGAAATTATCAACGTTATGTAGTAATCCATGAATCCGCGAAATCTGGCTGCCACAGTAAAACCATTGATATTGAATCTGTACGCATTTGCTGTTTCATTTTTTTTCTTTTTAACTAACTTTTCTACTAATTACATTTTTTCGTCGCAATGACATCAATACAGAAGGGATTTCTCGGAATCCGTTCAAGAAGGGAACGTTTGTTCGCGCAATTTTTGATTCGTTAGACCTTTATTCATTCGTTTGTTTGTTTACTTATCATTATCTGTAAGCTTGTAAAAAAACAATTATTATGTAAAACTGCAAACATTGAAAACTTTGGGTTACAGCCTGTTCAAAAGGGTGTAATTACCCTGTTTCCTGCTGTGATTGCATCAAATTGTTTTCTTCGTTGCTCAAAGTTCAGACGCGCTGACAAGTTTGCCGCCCTAAATTTACCTATTTTTATTTTTATTTATTTATTTTCTTCTTTTCTTGGCACGCAGAGGTTATAGCGGCAAATAATGCTTTGGAAGCTTGCTTGTATATTCTTCTGTAAACAACATGAATCACTGCCTGCAGTTTGCCAGGTTTTAAAATTTCTTAAAGTTTAGATTTTCCCCATTCCTCTGTTTAAATTTTCGCCTCTGAATATATATTTTTTTAATCTATCATATTTTAATACCCTAAAACAAACACTCTACTTAAATTGTATTTTTTTCTACTGGCTGTTCTCATAACTACTTCCTTTGTTAAAGTTATACTGTCTTTATGTAGCTTTTAGAATTTTGGAGACTGCGAAGTACACCAGATCTAACGTCAGTTGATTAAAAGATGCCAGCAAGTATGTCAAAATGGTGATATTTGGAAGTATATTGTTTTTCTGTTGTTGTTGCTTTGTTTTTGTAGCTGTTTTTTTTTTTGAATTAGCTATCACTTTTTAAAATAATAAGTCTACATTTGATAGGCAGAATTTATCATTGTGGTTTTAGAATTTTGCCAGAGCAGACATGTAGGATCTTTGCAATGTTAAAGTCGCTCAGTCAGCTAAGAAATCTAAAAGTTGGAAGGATAGAAGGTCGTTAAAATCTTCATGCCCTCCATCTGTATAAGATTTTTTCTTCGCCTACCTTTACCTCATAGGATTCATTGGACACCTGCCAAATCATGTCTCCCACTCCTTCCTCTCCAACCTTTCAAAAACCCGACATTACAACATTTATTTTTTAATAAAAGAAATAAAAACCAAAGACATCGTTTGTTTTTGAGAATACATAAGCCATTTCTATTACTCTTTTTAAGCTCTGAACTGTGAAACTGGTACAAAAAGTTATAACATTACATTTCAGCATTCGCTTTAGCGACTATGGCAGCTACCGTGGCTGTGGGGTTAATAAGTGTTGTACTCAAAGCTGCGTGGAGTGATGGTGAGTAAAATCTTTTAAATATATTTTGGGAAACATAAGCAGTAGATGTATGGAGGTACTGAAGGCCGCTGTGTAGTAAATACTGCAGCTCTTGGCTAACAAATGTTAAACTTCCTCCTTGACATTGAATTGTAAACTAAATGTTTTTCTTCTTTGATATAAATTTTTACAAAACGGGTCAAGAAAAAAATCGAGTCAAGTAATTAGGATTAAAATTATTTCCTTACAAGTGTGGATAAATACAAATACCAGCTACTAGTTGATTCTGACCGTTTGACACCGAGAAGGTCATGAAGATTTTAATGGAATAAGTACTGATCGAATATCGGCGAATCATTGTAGCATCTCAATTGTCTTTGTTTGTTTGTGCATCTAGAGTCCAATGGAGACTTTCTGCTCTTTCATGACCGTGTACTCGGAGTTAATTATGATTAAGTTGATAAGTTAGTGAACTGCACGAGAAATTATTTATTCCTTTCTTTCAGAAGAGCCGGCGAAAAAAGAAGGAGGTGAAAGTCACAAACAAAGCGCTGCAGGTATATAAAGTTGATCCTACGAGAATATTTTCAAAAGTATGGTGGTGCCTTTTATCGAATTATGGTAAAGGTTTCTGTGTAACCATACCTCTTCTCCTGGAAATGAGAAAAATAATTGAATGTATTTTTCCCCAGGGAGTGGAGGGACGAGGTCACAACAGAGAGAAAATGGAAGTCTGAATCGTAGGGAAGAAGGTATTGTTGTTATGCCTTTCCGAAGTAGATTTGAACTATCAGCGATATGCAGGAAAAGGGGCCTACGGATAAGAGGTCTTCTCAGAGAGAACTAAAATGTCCAACCATCCGCAGTTTCTACTCAAAGGCAGCACACTCTCCTCAGTTATATGACGAAGCTGAGTGTTGGTCTGACTAGGACTTGTGTCCTTGACGGTCTTCATAGTAGTCTGACGCTTTACAAATTGATCGAACCAGATGGAAGTTAACAGTAGAACACAGTTACAACGAATTCAGGGGAATTATGGTAACTGTCTCTAGGAATCGTTTTAGAGTTCAAGACAGTGTTAAAAAGTTTGCATACGAATGTTCTTTCGGAATCATCAGAGCAACTTGCATTTCAAACTATTCCCAAATAACTACGGGAAGAATTTCCAAAACCCAAAGAACACTTACACATGAAATTTTCCCTTTTACACTGGTGTGAGCCCATCGTTTACTTTCTTATGGTCTGTAAGTTGATTTGTTAAGACTTAAACCGGTGACAACTCATCCTTTAACGTTGCACTTTTGAACGTTGCACGTTGAAATTTCTTTTGCTTTAAATCGCAATTCTTTCTTTGTTTATTCCATTCAGGTAGTGTCAGCCAACTAAGTACAGAAATACAAGCATTAGAATGTGGAAGTAATTATTTGGCGGTTATCTTTCAGTAAATCAATAGTGCCTAGCACTTTACTAGAACTTTGATCTGCAAAATCATTTTTACAGGTATTAGAAAAACCAGAACACAAGAAGACGAAGAGAGAGCCAGGAAAAGAAGAGGAGAAGGTAATGTACACTGTAAAAAATGGGCCTAAGTATTACATTTAATTCAACTGAACTATTATGGTAATAGTTCCTGCATCGTAAACATAGGATTGCTTAATTTGTTGTTCCCTTTTAAGCTAAAGCATCGCTTCATATGAAGTCACAAATACCGAGGAATAACAGTTCCTGTTCTTAATTTTCAAATCCCTTGAAATTAAGTAACATTTTCATATTACCCTTCACCAACTGCAGCCTTATCCCTTCTTGGCGATAGCAAGTCTACACCATACCTCTGGCAGTTCAAAGAAGCAGATTCTCATGCTTGGAAAAATTTCGGCCCCTCTGACAATGTTGTCCTGGAAGAGCTTTATTGCAACGTGAACAATGTGGAGGTTGAAATAGAACTTGAAGACACCACAATAAGGTGAATATGTATTTATTCTTAAACAGTAGGGAAAACGTAGCTCATCAAAGGTACAATTTTTAATATTTTTGGCCAGAAACTTTGGTAACCTTAAGATTACAGAGAACATCCAACTTGAAAATGATATATACAGAGACCATAGATTACCGAAGTGTTCGGCCGTTTGATTTGTTTTCTTGAGGGTATAGAGCGGGCTCATTTAGAGAAGAATACTGGCAAAATGAATGTCACAGATGCTCCACAGAAGCCAGTCAATTTCTCGACAAAACTTTATATCTGTAAAACACTTCAGTAACTTCCCGTACGTTTTATTGCCTCTCTTACCTCGTGCAATACTTTAACATGTGTCAAGGCCTCAGTTAGTTATCATCATTCGGCGGCGTGATTGTCTTAGCGACGCAGAATGAGACGAGGGGAAACGGAAAAAGATTGGAAACAGTTGCACTGAAGTACCGCAGTCTGCGAGCGGACTCAAACTGGTGCGGCAAGAGAGTAAAGGAGGGAAACGAGAGGTCTGGCACTAATGTTTTTGCCAGAAAAAAGGCGGATCTCTGGCAAGTTCACATTGCTTATCCGCTAAAATGCGCGGGCCTCACCACTCAGCGCCGATTTGAGCCTGCAAGCAGACCAATAGCACTGCAGCTCACTAACAAAACGTTTGGAACAGGCTCACACATTGTCACTCTTTTTCGTTTCTTTCAGACATTCAAAAAAGCTGTCAGGAAAGATGTCCACCAATTTTCACACGATGTCCATGAGCTTGTTCTCCCCCTTTAACCACTTTTTGATCCGTCGACGCTCAACACCGTCTTACATCAAAGAACGCGGCAACAATTTTCCTACACTGTGGGTTTGGTATTGGGAAGACATCGATGGATGGAAAAAATATGCCGAAACGAATGTAAGTAGGAGGGTCTTAATGGGGTGATGGCTTTTACGGCTAACGGTTAAAATTTTGACTAATTTACGGCTAACGGTTAACATTTTTCCATTGTCTCCATCAGACATATTTTTTACGGTTAATTTTCTTTACGACCAACGGTTAAATTTTGTCAATTTTTACGCCCAACGGCTAAATTTTTGGCCGTTTTACGGCTAACGGTTAACTCCATTGAGAACCTCAAGTAGCGGTAACTGTTACGCAAAGAAATGGTCAAGCGATGGCCCGGCCGGGTATACTTCTTTCGTAATTTGCTTTAATTGTATATTTTGTATCGCAGTGAAATTGCACGGCCGAAAATTATGTTTACTTTGATGAAATATATATATATATATATATATATGTTGCGATAGGGGAAAAAAACAGAGAGACTATCATCGCCTTTATCCCTACAAGCCTGTTTCGTGATTACTTACTCATCAGGGGATTTTATGAGTGAGCAATCACGAAACAGGCTTGTAGGGATGAAAGTATAGTCTCTTATATATATATAATTATATATATATATATATATATATATATATATATATATATATATAATAAATAGATTCCAAGTTGCCGTGCGACTGTTCAGTAATAGATCACAGATGATGTCAAAATGTGGTAAGAACAAAAAGTGGCACACGAGGCGCAGCCGAGTGTGTCGCTGATGTTTTATATAATAAAGAATTTAAAAAAGATTTAATGATGACGTAATCTATACGTCTGTCCTCCAATAGATCGCAAGATAGAACCAATTAGAATGCGTGCATAACTGAGGTTGTTATATAAATATATGTATATATATATATAATCCCTTACCTTCAGTAAGGCAAAGGAACAGACTTTCGTTCGAAAAATAAAAGTTTGACGAACAAGATAAAATAAGCATTGCATATGACGGCTTAAGATGAAAATAAAAGGAGAAGAGAAATCCTGAGGCTGAGGTTTCATGGTTATGGATAGTCCAAACTTAAAATCTTAAAACTTCTTTTTTAGCTTTGTTCTGGGGCAAAACAAGAGCAAATTGAAGCATCGTATCTAAATGGAGACCCTGCTTACTACTTTCAAATCGGTCGGAACGCTTACGTAATACATTTTGAAGGTACACTTATGAACCAAAGGAGTGTAGATCCAGAAGTCCAAGCGGTTCGGCTTGTCAGAAGAAGACCAATGTCTACTTCGAATTCAGCACCACAGACTGCAATGAGGTGAGTGAACGCAGACTGCGCTCTAATTAGGAAGAGTAACCAATTTTTTTTTTTTTAAGTCACTGAAAGAGACATTGCTCCTTTGTAAGCGGTCCCGGGACAGAACTAGGCTTTCGACTGATGAAAAGCCGAAACACAATAAGGGTGATGATGATGATGACGATGATTTTTAATAATTGATGGTCTCCATGTAAGTGGATGGTCTGTTCAGCATTGTGGCTTATCCATCAAATCTCCATGAACTCAAGAAAGAAAGAAATATAAGGGAACTGACTGCTCGATTGACATAAAGCAACCCCTGTATTGTTGTCGTCTCAATTGTTATTCGATGGGAAGGGGTCGGGGCGTTCATTATGTGAGGTCTTATCATGTGCTCGTTATCATCTGGGAGGGAGCGTGTTTACTTGTTTCAATGTAAATTTGATTTGGATTTTGTTATAACTATCATCACTAGTTCTTAAAAAGCTAGGTTTTTGTTAAGAGCCAGCACGTATTTCCCTGTAACTGGAGCATGTGATTATCGATGTTCCTCTATCTAACACATCTCATTTTTAAATCGTTTCAGGTATCATACGGGCAAGGCTAAGGATTTTGAACGAAGGCGTTTGAGAAAGCACTGCAAAGAATACCGAACTGTAAGTCAACGTTTTCACGAAACATTGCCGAAACTCAAGGCCTCCATATTGATGGTGGAGAAAATTCGGAATGACGAGTTACGCGAGAGATACGAAAGGTGAGACTTAACTCACTATCTTGTTAGAAGATTTTTACAGAACTTAGTAGGAACAGCCACCCAAGCACGAAGTGCTGAGGCTTTATTCGAAATAATCTCGTTTTTTCTTCTAGTTTGACTATGCCTGAGTCACAGTCGGTCATTATGTTCACATCGCTTCGCCACCAAACGCTTAACAACTACACTCTTTTACCGATTAACATTTTATTTGTCATTTTCCCATTAGTAAGTGCGAACGAATTCAAAGGAAACTAACACTAAGAGGGTACGATGAGATCGAAAAGTTGCTTTTCCATGGTACAACACCAGATGTTGTTGATGCAATCTGCAAACATAACTTTGACCACAGATTGCGAGGGAAGAACGGGACACAGTATGGAGAAGGAAGCTACTTTGCTGTGGATGCCTCCTACAGTAATAACTACAGTAGTGATGATGGCGAGAAGACGAGATACATGTTTCTGGCAAGTGTGTTAACAGGGGAATCAAAGCTTGGACGTAGAAACTTTCGTCGACCGCCTCTAAAAGATCCAAGCAATCCTACTAGCGATTTGTATGATTCTTGTGTTGACGACGAAAATCGACCAAAGATCTCTGTAATTTTTAATGACGAACAGTGCTATCCTTCTTATTTGATTAAATATCACTTGAAATAGATTTATGTTTCGAGGCCATATGCGTCACAATGGTAAACATTCAGGAACAAGCGCTTCAATAATCCTATCAGTTGCAGGGAGATCACGAAATAAAACCTCATTATGTAAAGGGAAAAATAGATTAAAAAAAAAGATACAAAGACAAACGGAATTTAGTACAGAGTGCTATAGTTTGATATGCCGTAAAATTTTCACAACGTATAGCGTGAAAGAATAAGCTGTCATTCTGTTAAATGGTCAAAATTATAAAAGTTAATTAAAGATCAGAAATCAGAGTTTATGAAGATTTAAGTACATATGTGCTTTTTTATTGGGTAACGCAAATAATAAGCGAATAATGTGCATGCTACTTAAGTTTGAATTCCTTCTGTTAAACCTTAAAACGTTTTCAATTTTCCATGGGTTTACCGGTGCAAGGAACGATAGGTTTTTGACCAGTCATGGTGCTCGTATTAAATTTTTTTAAATTGAAATAGTTGTTTTGGAAATGAAAATTCCATGGAGACAAGGGCGAGAATCCGCCACCATAGCAGAAAACATTGAACACTCTCTTTACCAAGAAATGTTCCGTCACGTTTTGAAACTGAACGTATTCATGAAAACGAATGCAAGAATTCCGAGAAAGTGGCAATGTTTTCCCAACAGGAGTGGGGTGGGGAAAATGTCTTTCACTTATATCAGTCGAATTTTTGCTTCTAATAATTATTGATACAGCTTAGAACAACTACGTTTATGCAGTTGAATATCACAACAGCAGTTTTGCGTAATGAAATTATTGAAGATTGTGTTCGATGTTCTACTGCTTGATCAACTTTGGAAAGTGTATTATTCAAGAATAATTATTTTGATTTACCTCTTTGTCTCACACCGTGTCTCAAACCGTGCCCATGCCACCGTGCTTGATTGTTGTCAAGCCCCTCCCGTCAGTCGCTCTCGCGTGATTAATGCCTCATCATTAAAAAAGGCCACTGATCCTTTAGAATCGTCCTCATCGTAATTCAGTAATCCCTTTGTTTTCTTCCTCACAATTCAAGTGACTAAATCTCTATCAGCAGTTATAAGTTTATTGAAGAGCTTCCGGTAACTCAAAAATCGAAGGCAAATGGTTCTGTTGCACATCGCCCTCGGTTTATCAATTGGACTATCCGTATGTCAACGATATCAACGGAAAAAAAAACAGTAAAATATCGCAGGAAAACATCGATCAATTTCCCGTTCAAATACACGTCTGTGTTTATTTCCTTCTGTCAAGTTGTCGAAACGAAACCGAAAATGTTAACCTCACTTTCAGGAAAAATCACTGATTACGGCGTAATCACCACTTCTGCCTTGGTCATCTGCTTTTACAATTTTGTAGAATTGTGAGCTTCAAAGATCAGGTTCCAGAATACCAAGGGCCGTTCGAAACAGTGGAAGAAACTTAGCAGATACACGATTCCTATTGCTGATATTGAGCTAAATTCTTCGACGCATGATGCCTTTAAATCATGTTTCGATGATAAATTACATCCGTAACCAGTAATATGTTCCGTTTTTATTACAATTCTAGTTATCTGAGAGGCAAGGCTAAAGATTTTGAACGGACTCGTTTGAAAGAGAACTGCGAAAAATACCAAGTTGCGAGTCAATTTTTTCACGAAACAATACCAGAAGACCAGGCCTCCATAGTGATGGTGGAAGAAATTTGGAACAAAGAGTTACATGAGAGATACGAAAGGTGAACTTATAAAACGGTTAATATTGTATATAGAGGGATAATGTGCGCGGAACTTGCAAAGGACGACTACACATCATATATCTGAAGCTGAATTCACATTGATTTAGTTTTTTGTTATGTTTTAATTACATCTAAGTGAAGTTTGGTCCCTTAAAATCGGAGCTTTACAAAAACTGTAAAAAAAAGTAAGAAAATGAAAAAAAAACCCCAAGGATGGAAAAAAATTATTTTTTTTTAAAATCAGTGACGTCAAAAAGCCGTGTGATCTTTTTCACACTGCCCTGCGAAGCATTCTGCATACTGTATGCTTTGGACCAAGGAAGTGCTTTTTGAACATATCACTCTTTTAATGATTACAAGTAAAATTGCCGAAAACGAAAGCGCATTGATTGCATGGACAAATTTCTTGCTTTAGATTTCGGAGCCAAGGTTCAGTTTTCCAATTTTTCCTAATTATTTTATACGGGGCTCAAGAAATTAAACAGACCACTTTTATCTGTTGCCGATGATGATCCGGTATAAAACAGCGAACAATGAAGATGGCCTTAAGTAATTATAGTTTTCTCAACTGAGTATATGATCTGTGCTGTTTGAGCACGCGCCTTGGAATTAAATAGCCCCTCAACCTTTTCCATTGTAAACCCTGCTTTAATCGTTTCTTCATCTAGTAAGCGGAAAAGAATCAAAAGGAAACTGAAAGCAAAAAGGTACGATCAGATAGAAAAGTTGCTATTCCATGGTACTTCATCAGATGTCGTTGATGCCATCTGCAAGCAGAACTTTGATCACAGATTGCGAGGAAAGCATGGGACAAAGTATGGAAAGGGGAGCTATTTTGCTGTAGACGCTTCCTACAGTAATAACTACAGCGGTCTAGGTGGGGATAAGACGAGATTCATGTTCCTAGCAAGAGTTTTGACGGGGGAATATAAGCTTGGAATGCCAGATTTTCGTCGACCACCTCTGAAAGTTCCAAACGATCCTGCCAGCGATTTGTACGATTCATGCGTCGACGACGAAAATCAACCAAAGATCTTTGTCATATTTAATGACGAACAATGCTATCCTTCCTATCTAATTTAATATCAGCTGTTATAGTTTTTAGTATCAAAGTCAGATGAATCAAACTACAGAAGAAAGTCAGTCACAAGTACATTAACCCGATCATCTCCAAGGCGATCGTCATATACAATTCCATCGAGTTTAGTAAAAAATGTATCACTTAGCTAGAAAATAAGTAAAGAAAAACTTTTATCGTTGTAGCTGTTAAAGTCAGGTAAATCAAACTAGGGAAGGTCGGCCACAAGTGCGTTAACCTGATCAGTTACAGGTAGATCATAAAATGAAGTCCATTGAAAGTAATAAAAAATTTTTTAATGAAGAATAAGTAAGTAAGTAAAAACAATATGCAAAAAATAGAGAAAACAGGTGAGAATACAAGTCTAACGTACTATAAAGGTCTCACAAAGTGCTTTGGAGAGAAAAGTATAGCGATCAAGAGAGACTTTGTTACTGTCTAGATATTGATTCTCGCGCATGTCAAAAGATCTACAACACACGTGCTGAAATTTGTCAGCATAATGCTATTTTGGACTTACCATTGTCAACATTTCTTAGGGATAAATTGACATTACTTTTTCATTCCTTAAAAGAAAGAATACTTAAGAGTAGAAAGTAGATTAAAGGCTCCAAATAAGGTTTTCAGTCAATAAGCTGGGCGGCGGTGTAGTCATAGGGATGTTTGTTGTGTTATCATTGCGATCAAATATAATCGTTCCGGAAGTTTAGTAATTGTTGTTGATAGTAATATCTCACTGTCAATATTACTCTGATTTGATGTTTTATGTACCTGCAGAATGGATGTCGTAAGTTAAGGTCCAAGACCATGCAGAAAATTCAAATTACTATTTGCGGGTGTATATTTGCTTGCAGGTATGATAACCCACAGTGCGCTGCTATGCTTTGTGTACCGTTTTTCATTACCAGGTCAAGTGCCTCAGCTCTGTCTGAGAAAACAAATAATGAGTAATTCTAAGAAACGACTGAAATCGGCTAATATGTAAAAACACTTTTTGCCCCCCTTCCCCCAAAAGATTGAAACGAAAATACCCTGTAAGTGTGTTTTCGTTGCACTGGATGTTTCGTTCCCAGTTATTGGCGAAGGATATATAATAAATTATTACTCCTTTTATACCATAAAGAAAAAGGTGGTTTTCCCGCGACTTTTGCGTTACATCAGTGTCTCAGTGTCTATTCATTCGATCGGCCGGACGTAGTCATATGAATATCAAATGACGGGTGTCACCTAACTGACTCATTTCACTTATTGATTATTCTCAGATAGTGACCTCGCTCTAAATACTGCTTGGCAAACAACTTCATACATCACGGTCGTCGCACATGCGAATCGCTTTACTTTGTGGACTTACATTATATTTCGGTGCCTATGAAATTACAGGGTAAACAGTGAAAACTGGACTTACCGTTGTCAAAACCTTTCTTTCATAACTTGTGAAAAAAACTTTTGTCAGGTTCCCAAATCCAATTTAGAGGAAGAATATGTCCCTTACCTTTAAGCAATAATGTTTAGAAAGAGTTGATGAATCCAAGGTTCTCAACGCTTTTGAGACAAGTTCCCTGGTGCTCATGTTTGATGTCCCGAAATCTAAATCTCTTGTTTGACAAGCGGGACAACAACAATATTTCGCTATCCAGGGTGAAAGGACCCAGTTATTGTTTACAATATCATTATGAACTCAATAAGCAGTAGTCTTGACTGAAGCTTACTCTGCCTGTCAAAAAAACTCAGAAATTTAGGATAGAAAATGGCTGCCGTACAAAGTCTATTGTGACCCTCTCAAGGGGCATCCTTGTAGGGTTTACCAGAATACCATTTTCAACAGCAGTAAGTTTTGGTGACAATGACAAATTCAGGTGCACTCTTACAGGAAATTTAATCCTGGTACCATATCTATTTTTGTCTAAGCACTGATCCCATAAATTGTGAAAATTGCACTGGTCAAAGTCCTGCTTCTCTAGCATAATATATTTGTTATTCTCTGCTAGCTCGACCTTTCCCATGTAATAGGAACCGATAATAGTCATGGTGGAAAACTTTACTTTTTAATTTAGATGTAATTGCCAGGAGTCGGAGATCTATATTTTTCTGCAGACGAGCTTATGGGATCACTGGTCTTTCAAATATCCTGAATAAACACATGGCAGTGTAAGCTTTTTTGTTTTGGCCCGAGGCAAATTCTTTGGTATCTCATCAGAAAATATAACGTAAGGTGGTACTCTAACAATACATACATCGTACCCCCTTACACTACACTAATTTAAATTAATTTTATAACCATTGTCCTTTTATTGATAATGCATTATACCCTAAGGTGTACAAACTTCTTCGTTAAAAAAGACCCAAAGCAGTTCAATGAACAGTTGCAGAAAATAAACCATCTCCTAGATTTTATTTTGTGGTAAAAATATTCCTACATAATTTTTTATTTAAGTTTCCTACATTTTGTGATTAATTAAGCAACAGTTTGTAAAAGAAAGTACTAACAGATCACTATAAATTAGTAGCACTACGTTGCAGACAGTCCAACCCTTCCAATTTAGCCTTCGACTAACGGTATTAAGTTTCAAATTAATCACTAACTGAGTTCACATTTCACCCGACCCTCCCCACGCCAGCGCATAATGTTTTGGTCGAAAGTCGGTACAAACCAGCCCTGGCGTGGGGAGGGTCGGGTGAAATCTGAGCTCGGTTAGTGATCAATTTGAATTTTAATACTGTTTATCGGAGAATTATGATCGACCTCTTCGGTCCACATCATGTGTCGACGGCAGATGATGAGCGAATGTCGGAAATCGAGCAGGCTTTTGAGGTAGTTAGAGGCGGGCAATTGCACTGATTTTTGGCTTGGCTCTTACACGTTTATCGACTTTTAACGTGCCCGAAGCTGGGAGGTGAGCGACATTTGGAAGCGGAAGAAATTCGATGAAGTTCTGGAGGCCCTCGGCCCAGACAGTCCAAGAAGTTGCACGCCTTGTGTTTTTCCTTTGCCTTTGGAGAGGCATCAGTGCAAAGTGGGGAATTAACCGTCCCAAAACCCCGCAGAGTCACTAGAGAAAACACAGAAAAATGAAGGTAAGTGAATTTATTTATCTTTCTGTCCTTAAGCGGATTTTGGGGATGAAATGTTACGATTTGCGGAATTTATGAAACATTTCCCGGGATCTTTTGCGTCTTGCCGAGATCGACCGTTGCAAATTACAAACAATGTAAGAGTTTAACCAGTGTATCAAATAACTGACGTCACGCGGCCTCAAACCCACAGAGTTGTCAACCTGTGGGTGATCGCTGACAACATGTGCGTCAGCAACAACAACCGTTGTCTGAATGAAATTGTCAGGATGTACGGCAGATGTAACATTTTTTTGACAAGGATGAAAGAGTATGACAAGTTTACCAACATTTCCAACTCTGTGGATACTCATGGTGTTTGCAGGCTCTTCGGATAAGGATGTCTTAATGATCGAAGTGGGAACAAAACGCGAAAAAAACCTGAAAACTTTGAGTTTCAGATTTGATTTACTGAAGATCAAGATGTGCACATGAGACAACAAACCCTGAAGGTTAGTCATAAGATGTTGATGTTTTACTTGTAAGAATCGCAAAGTTGTATGTAGAGACGATCGTGAGATATTTGTTCCGATAAAAGAAGTTAATGTAGAATGTGAACTTATTTTACTTCAACTTTGAAGTAAAATTGTATTAAGTTCGAGGTGGCCCCCAAGCTTCAAATCACTTCAAATAACATCGTCTTTTCTCTCTCTTCGTAGTCACATAGGACACAGGGCTTTAAAAAATGTTCCAGCCACAGGATTGAGTTCCTCTTACTGTAACCTTCGGCGACTTCGTTTTTGGGAGGCGTAGGTGGTTTTTCCAAGCCATGGCTCACAACTGTCTTTGGCCATTTTGCTCTCCAAGTCTGCTGTACATGGTATGTAGGTATGTATCTTAACAACGATTATAGTCTTGCCTCAATCATCTCCGGTTTTATCTTTGTCTTTTTTGCTACGTTTTGGTGGGAATTTTTCTAATTACCTTTTTGGGCTTAAAGTGTTAACTAGAGGATAAACTTCGTTAGAACTTATTTATCACATGGCCCCACATTCCCTAACCACTGTCAGTTTATTGTTTATTAATTTAGCTTCCGCACTGTAAAATGAGGTGTTGATTTGGCCCAAAAAATGGGGCCAAAACGAATGAGTCCAGTTTGGTACTGGCTTGGGGTCAATTCGGCCCCATTGAAATGGGGTTGTTTTTGGCACCAGTTTTTGGGCAAAGTTGACCCAATTGTAAGGGCCAAATTGGACTATGTGAAGGGCTAATTTGGAAAATACCGGAGCCACATTGGAATTTAAAGGGGCCAAAACGGCCCCTAAAATTTAAGCCCTCACAAATGACCCCCTTAAAATAGCCAATTCAGCTCAAATGTGGGCCACTTCGGAAGTAAGTTCTCCATGCTGATTTCCCCCCTTTCAGGCAAATAATGAAAATACACCACATACTTTATCTTTCAAACACTCATTCAGTAGGTTCTAGATGTTGTTCATGTAAAAACCTTTTACAGTGCATGATTTTACAGTTATTAGGAATCTTAATTGTAGTACAAAACAGACAAACTTTGGAACATCATGTAAAAGAATAGAACATACATACATATTTAACATTAATTCAACCATTTTCAAAAATAGATCTCTTCCCTTAATCAGTATACTTCTTAACAGAGCAAGCATTGCAAGAAATTACACCCAAGAGACACTTGTGAGTAAAGCTTCCCTTTTCAATGACTTAGCAAATGTGGTAACGTAAAGCAGCTTATAATCAAGACTGATTTAAAGTACAGAAAATTATCAAAATAAGACAGAGGCAACAAATGGTCCAGTTCCTGCACAAGAATATAGATCTTGTTTGATTTGTGCATATGAAAAATAAATTAGAGCAGCATTGAGTATTCTTCCAGTGGATGTGAGAATACATGCACTCATATTGCTACTTTAGATGTTATCAA